GAATAGTAATTGTTGGTTATTGGAATTAATTCTGTATACACCAATTATATACTTATATATATATATATATATATATAATATAAATATAAGTAATTATACTCGCCTGAAAAAACCTTAGGTGTATTGGCTTGTAAGTGAACAAACCCAAACCCAGGAAAAATAAGGAATAAAAAAGAAGAAAGAACTAAGAACATGTAATTCAGGCGAAAACAATCGTCCAGAAGCCAAGATCAGTCCAAAGAAAAAAAACCTCCAAAGAAAAAAAAAATACATATATATATATATAAAAATATGTATACATATACATATATGTCAAGAAAGACTAAAAAGATAATATATTGGTTGTCAGTCAATCCGCCCCCGAAAAGCCAGATTTTTGAATGCTAGTTTTCATGTCAAGTTGGTCTTCCTTACTGAGATGACAAAACACAATATTCCCACTCTCATTTTTTCCCTACCCTGATTTGGCCTTCTGCATGACTAATCTGATCTTATTAAATAGACTTCCAAAGGGTTAAATAGTTTTATATTCCCTACCAGTTTTATATTCCCTAGAAGTATCAAACTAGATCCCAAATATAAATACTGATTTTGAATGTTGGTTTTTGGGGAAAGCAGTTCCTACTCACTTTGAAGACTTTGAACATAGCCAAATTCTTTGCTTTTGGTCTTGTACCATCTTGAAGAATAAATAATTTTATTAGATTTCAGTACCAAGAGTAATTTATATATTACAGTCAAACCCAATTTATTAGGTTTCATTCAACAAAGAACATTACACATGATAGCAATGTATATTGCTTTTCAATAAAAACAAAGTCCAACTTCACACAAGAAATTGACAAAGTATATATATATAGTCTTATCAGCCATGATGCTAGACCATCCTGTACTGAAATAATGAAAGTGGTCATTATAATGCAGAAGATTACAAATAATAGACAAAATTACCTCAATGAAAATCAAGATAGATTATTAAGTACAGTCTGAGGTATAAGTGTTTTTCACAGAATATTTTTAAAATCTACTCACTTTATTGGCTTCCTCTCAGTGTCAAATCACTTTCTATGCTAATTAATACTGAGCTTAATTACTATTATTATCATTTATATATAAAAACCGACATGTCATTTTGGCTGACATAGTAGGGTGCAAACAATCAAGCAAAATGACTATCATTAACAGTTAATAAACTTGGAGTTATCTTTTTTCAACATATATTGTGTTGTCAGTTTATAAAATTTGTATGCATGGAAATGATATATAGGTACTACCTACTATGCACAAGTGCCAGCTTAATCCAAGGCAGAGTACTCTCTGATTGTGGGTATTTTGATCCAAGAGAGAATAGCTAATCTATATATGTTATATAAGTAATTGTAGAATTGCTGCTCAAACCAGACACCAGGTTCATTCTCAAGGTACAGCTTCTTCCAGTCAAATGCTTTTGGCTTAAAAAATAACTCTTTAGCCATATCATTACCCACAAAATAAAACCATGCGACGAGATTGTAGCAGTAGGCAAATTTCATTCTGGCTGTAATCATCTGTAGACAAGTGAGTCAGACGCAAGATAAGGGCGTGTGCAGTCTAATTGCCCTGCAAACATATGCTTTCCTTTTCACAGTATGGCAAATGGTCCTCTGATTTTAGCTGCTAGTGACCATAAAGGACAAAGGTTCTTTGTCCTGTCATCTTTCATCTAAAAAAGTCATTCATCAAGTCCTCAGAGTCTGGCTTTACTTAGTGACCTTCTTTGTTGTCAGAATCATTTGACATGGTTCTTGTGAAGTCCACTTCACTTTGCTTATAATCGTTCAGACAATAACTGTCGAAACAATTTTGATACAGGTCCACTTCACTTAGCTGATAATCATTCAGACAATAACTGTCAAAACAATTTCTGCAATATCTTTCAGATGTTTCTTTCTTTTAACAAGATATTAGCTGACACTAATATCACCACATAATGCAATCATTTTTATGGGTACTGTTTTTCAATATATGATATATTGTATGGATATATATTAATACATTGGATCTTATATAGCTCTGTCTGCTTCCTTTCATATACACAATATCAGATTTTATTACACAAGTCCATGTTTACACAGTGAAGTTGGTATTAACTAACCAATATTGTTAAATCTTCGAGGGTATACTTATATTTGAATGATAAATATACTCACATATTATATGAATTTGAGCTTATAAGATAAGGTTTTTACTAAGAATATTTACAATAACTTATTTGGCAGGATGATATTTTATTATACAATTTGAAGGCTGTTCCCGATACTACAAATTAATATATATACAGTAGAACTCCCCAAATTCAAACATAGCATAATCTAGACTTCCTTAAATTAAGACTCATCTTTAAATCCCAATTTTTGTATTGAGATAAATATGAAGCCTTTCCATCCTCAAATCAGAACAGTACCCTCAATACCAAACATTATGGATGTTTGTTTTAAAGGAGTTGTACTGTATATTCTTAATTTTCACTTCTTTTACAGATTGTAATTGTTTTTGAATAAGATATTTCTTGCCCATAACAATGTCACTAAGTTCAAAACGAAGAGAATTGTATTAACTTTTGTGCCAAAAACATGAAATTCTTGAAAATATAAATAAAGGAATAAGTAACTCAGTTCTAATGAAAGAATATAATATTGGAAGAAGCACACTTTTCTATATAAAATCACCAGAGAGAGGAAATTTTACAAGCTGCTTCATCCTGGTAAAAAAAAAAGGAGAAATGGTTTAGAAAAAAATTTTCATGGACTAAAAGAATGTCAATTTGACCAAACTCTATACAAATGGTTTTCTTCAAAACGATTAGAAGATTTGACAATATCAGATCTACTGCTAATTGCCAAAGCAAAAGCTCTTTATGCTCAAAAGAACATGAAAATAAACATAAAATTTAGTGAAAGTTGGCTTTGAAGTTTCAAGAACTCAACATGTAATATGGCAATTAAAAATTTCAGGTGAACAGCATTCAGCCGATATGCAGAGAGCTTCCATAAAATTATGAAGGACTATGATTTAACCCCAGATGGAATCTACAATGCTGATGAAAGTGGTATCTATCGGAAATGTTTGCCCACAAAGACTTTAGCTGGTGTGGATGAACAAAAACAGGTTATAAACTAAATCAAGAAAGATTGACAGAGCTGGTATGTGCTAATGCATCAGGTAGCCACAAATTTAAACTTTTAGTTATTGGAAAATTTAACACTATTTACATTATTCGGACTATTGTCCTCATCTTTGTTGCCATGTTTATCACAACGTTTCAGCTGTTGTATGCTCCGGCCATCTTCAGTTTGACATTCCAACCATCTGAAGAAGGCCAGAGTGTACAATGGCCAAAACGTTGTGATAAACATGGCAACAAAAATGAGGACAATAGTCTGAATAATGTAAATAGTGTACATAATACCTCATCTCAGAAATATAGACAGATACTGAAAAAATTTAAGTTTCCCCATTCTTAGGATGGACTTGTGCATTTACCAGTCACATACAACTCCTCAAAAAATGCATGGATGAATGAGTATCTGTTTAGGAGTTTGTCGCATCTGTAAAAACCCACTTTCTTGAATTAGGCAAATCAAATTCAAAATGCTTACTTCTTTTAGACAATTGCAGAGCCCATCAACATGAAGATAAATTTGTGTCATCTTGTGGAAATATATTTGCATGCTATTTACTGCTAAGTGTTACATTGTTGATCCAACCAATGGATCAAGGTGCCATTTGAAACGTTTCTACAAAAATCATTTCATGATGAAACTGATGAACTGCAATGTTTGCCTACAAAATTTACAGAAATGTTTTAACATCAAAGATTCCATGTTTTTACTTGCACAATCCTGGAATGAGGTGAAAGCTGACACTTTAAGATGAGAATGAGGGGAAACGTGTACCGAGAGACAGAGCTAGTTTTGTAGAAAATAATGTTAATAAAAGTGAAACAAATTGCTTAGAAAAAGAAACAGAGGTTCAGAAAATTATTGAAACTTACCACCATCTTCCTACTGAACAAAAAAGTCTTCAATCCCTTGATGCTGATGATGATATAGCATGAGTCGGTCAAGAAGTAGGAATAGAAGATGAGACTGATAATGAAGACAGTATTCAAGATAATGTTAATAGTAATAGTTGCAGTAGTAGTGAGTCTATATTAGATGATCAGAGTGATGATGAAATAGTATCATGGAAAAGAGCTGAGAAGTCTATTGAAACACTTCTCAAATTAATTGAACCAAATTCAATGGCCACTGGAATATCCAGTGATGTGCATTACAAAATGAAATTATCAAAAAGAAACTGCTCAAGCATAAAGTGAAAGAAGTTGTACTTACGTCAAAAGGGCCATAGAAACAACTGTCATGAATGCAGATGAAGAACGCAGCAAAATTCAGGAAGATCTGACAATGGACAAATGATAAATTCATAACATTTCATAAAATGTCTTAGTTTTTCACAAATTACAATATTTGTTTAGCACAAATTTTTTCATTACTATTGGTTATCAATTATTTTTTGTATATTTATGTATTCAATCTACATTTTAAATAAAAACGAATCAATGTTACAAACTACCGTTTGTGTCCTTAACTGTAAAACTTAATAAAAATTTTAAGCTTGCTACAGCAGCCTTTTCTTTTTTGAATCAGAACAGCATTCTCAATACCGAACATCTTGGATGTTCAGTTTAGATGAATTGTACTGCAATATAATTATTGGTATTTATTTTTTTAATTTCAGTTATTGTGATAAATCATACAAAATGCATAATCTCAAAGGGGAAAACAGAATATTGTAAAGTTATTGATTCATAGAAACAGTTAATACTAATTTTATTCTGGAAACATTGACTTGCATCATAAGGTTTGATATAGTGTGTTTGTATATGATTCTATAATACATATTTACTTTATCTTATATATAAATACATAATGATTTTATATATCTTTGTTTCCTTTCAGTTCAAATGCTGTGGTGTAAGCTATAGTGAAGATGGGTATAAAGACTGGCAAAAGAACATTTATTTTAACTGTTCACGTTCCAATCCAAGCTCTGAACGATGTGCTGTACCCATGTCTTGCTGCATTTTTAAAGATGTAAGTCACTGCTTTTACCTAAGACATTATTTAACCATTATGTCATCCAGATTGTATTTGAAACTGAGAATTGCTGCTGCTAGAAGTCCTTGGGATATTTTTTGTATTTGTGGTTTTTTTTTTTAAAGATTTTACAAAGATTTTGCCAAACTTTACATACTTGGTTGCTTACAACACATTGTTTCAAATGTTGTTATTGTTTCAAATGTTGTTATTGTTTCAAATGTTGTTATTGTTACCTTTACTGCTAGAATTTCTATGATTTACTTTGACCAGAATTTGACTGTAATTCAATTTCTAGTTGTACAACATTCTTCTAATCCAACTAACAATTGATGAAAAGCTTTTATTTATTCTACATTTGTGTGTTTTTTAATCCATGCTACCAGTATAATTCATATTGTGTAACTGCCAGGTCAGTGTTATCTTAGTCAAACCAAAATTTGATCAAAGCATTTTATTGACATTCATTATTTGTTGGTGTTATCTCAACCCATAGAATTTAAGAGATGCATCATAAGTGGACTCAAAAGTGTTTTGCTGTGTCTATAATATTTAATCCTTTTTTGTTAAGATATTTGATAATCATCCAATTAGTTAATCTGAACTGATTCTGAAACCATGCAGTTGGGGAACTATTGTGGATTTCCCAAAAAGGGTGGGAAGGAATATTTATTTTTTGTAAAAAGGCCGAAAGAAAAGTGGGGAAAACCTGGTCCTCAGAAACTACCCTAGCCCTTAGCTGGCAAATGAAGGTCTCCAACACCAAAGTGTAAATTAAAGACAACAGCAGACCCCACCCCTGACGAACCAACTGAGACAGCGCAAAAGTGCATGACCACTTCCTGCTCACCTGGGAACAGTACTGAGAAAGTGATAACAATAGACTGATCCACTTCCAGAAGTTGGGTTTGAATCTGGAGGACAGCAGCCAGGTACCAATGATCAACCTTATCAAATGCTTTGGACTGATCTAAATTGATCAGTGCATCTTCCTCATCATCTTCTCCACCCTCTATGACTGTGCTGACCAGATGCAGGTTACTTTGAATTGTTCATCCCCTTACAACATAAGTCTGCTTGGCTCCCAACAAGCTCATAACAACTGACTGCAAATGCTCTGTCAGGATCTTGACCAAAATCTTTAACTCTGTGTTTATCAGAGTTATGGGCCTATAATCATCTAATTCCTGCCCATCACTCTTGCCCTTTTACAACAGCATGAATACACCAATGGAAATCCAATTAGAGATAGACCCCTGCTGGTACCAATTGTTGAACATCACTGTCAAAATCTGAACAAAGATGTGCAACAGCCTCAAGTACAATTTGTAGGGCATGCCATCAAATGCCTCACACATGGCCTTGGTTGACCTCAGAGTATGTCTTTCAGGAGTATTGACCTCACAAATGGATCAATTGGAACCTTGATGGATCTCTTCCTTGCGCAATTCTGCGCCCATATTCACAGCTTCATTAGACACCTTGTTTGACTTATGTCTAATTACCTGATGCTGGTAGCACTTGCTAGCCTCATGCTCTAGTGCTATCTCTAGGGAATTCCCACCAGCCTCTACCTGGGACTCTTCACCATCTTAGCCTTATCATTGGCTATATTCGGTGGTAAAAGACCTAATCCTCTCCTTAAGCCTCTTCCACCACTTATTCCAGTATCTGCCCTCACTAATTCCTGCTGCACTAATCTAGTCAGTTGTTACCAAAAGTCCCGCCTGTCCAGTAAAGGTCTGAATATTCAGTGGAACATGGGACAGTCTAGCAAATCTAGATCAAATGTTCTAATTAACATCCTATCCAGGTAGCTGTCTACCTGAAGAGATGACCACTTAAGAGTCCATGTCCACATCTCCTACTCTGGATGATTGCTCCGGTATCTATTGACGAGCCCAAATACGCCAATCAGATCAACCTGCTGGCTCCCTGCCCCCTGTTTTGGGGTCCAGAATGGCATTTCAGTCCCCCATTAAGACTAAGCATAATGAATCAACCAGGAACAGCCCCACTTGATGGAAAAAGTTGACATGCTCCTCCTGGTTGTTGGGTGCATAAACTGCAACAACCCAAAATGAACCATTGCTCACAACAATATAGGCCACGATCAAATGGCCCCTTGCATCAACATGAACAAGGTCTACCTTTGCATCCAGAGAACATTTTATTAACAAGGAAACACTTCTGGTCAGCTGGTCCCCTTATGCTGAATAGACAATAAAGTCACTAGACAGCACATGAGCATCAACATTGCAAACAAAGTGTCTCCTAGATTTAAGCCACATCTACACTGTAGGACAAGAGATCATGAAGAAGACAGGCCACCTTACCCTGATCTCTCAAGCCTCCTGTGTTCAAGCTGGCTAGCTTGATAGACATCTTTTAAGTTTTTAAAACCCTTGAACATAGACTGGATAGAAATCTGAGGAGGTCAAGACCCCGATTGATTGTCCAAGGCATCCGGTTCCAGTATCAGTCGTAATTTGACCCTCCTTGACAATTAATTTTAAGGCTCTCTACAAAGAGGGATCGAGTAAAACCAAAACACCTCCCTGAGCACATGTTTGACATTTATTTCAGAAATTTGAATAGAATATTTAATTTAGTCCAGAAGAGTACATTTTTTTGTTCTTCTTGACATTCCCATCTGTTTTCTCAGGGATTTGAACTTGCAACTGTCAATTTATCATCCTTCTGGTGGTACAGACATTTTTTTTAGAAGTTACATGCTCCCAAACCAGTGTTATGCAACAAGTATAACAGCTACTGTCTCATAACAACTGTCAAAGTTATATGAGAAGAATTTAAGAACTTAATTTTAATCTGTTCAGTACTGCAGCTATATACAAGCAGAATGATTTAAGTGGATTTGATAAAGGCCATATTGTTATTACCCGAAAACTAGGCAAGGGCATTTCAGAAATGGGATGATTTGCAGGATGCTCAGATGTGGTAGGTACATATTGGCAGTGATTCAAAGAAAGAAAAAATGCCAACTGCTGATGAGGCATTGAATAACTAAAACTTATCAGTGAAATAAATAAGACACATTCCATCAATTCTGAGTCAACAGAGGGGCTACTGTAAAACAAATTACAGATTTAATCAACGTGAAAGAAATACATCACAACACACAGCATATCAATTTTTGTTGTCTATAGAGCTGCACCATGCCACAGTAGTAATGCTGTCTTATGTCCATTGCCAAAAATATCTGGATATTTGAGCATAGAAATTGTACCTTGACAGAAAAAGGTTGCAAAGTATGCATGCATTGTTCGCCTGCAGAAGTGTTGGCAGCAGAATTCACTGTAGAATTCACTGCCAGTTGAGGCAGTGTTATGGCTTGGGCAATATTTTGTTGGAAAACACTGGATCCTATATTTCATGTGAAAGATACTTTGTCATGAAACTCCAAACTCAAAATCGCTGAATACCAAATATACTTCTCCATGCTAACAGTCAATGTGTTACACTGTATGTGATGTACAAGAATAGTTTGAGGAACAGGAAGAACATTTGCTCCAGCTACCAAGATCATTAGATTTTAATGCCATTGAACAATTGTGCGGTATGTTTGACAAAGATATTTACTCTGCAGAATTTCGACACTGAAACTCACAATAGAAATAGGACATATTGTTAATATACTGGCACCAAATGTCAGAACAAATCTTTAAATATCTTGTAAAAGTAAGAGCTGTTTTACAGGTATGTGAAGGACTAACAACTTAAGGAGGTGGTTATAATATTTTGGCCTATCAGTGTATATCCAATAAGCTGTATCCTATACCTCTGATTAGGATAAGGAAATACTGCTTTGTTCTAGATGTCTCAAATACATATTGGCATAAAAGAAATCATATTTATATTTGCAATCTTTCCCCTGTTATATTTACAGAGACATGTTACAATACTTATATCAATAATTATTATCTTCTGTCTTAATAATTACTGTTCTTTTATTGTTCTCTTTCCTTAATAATGTTGGTTAATATGCAGTGTAATATCCGCGCTCAGTTTGCATTAAAAATTTCGAAAATACTTACATTTATGTGTAATTGTACATGCTCCATTCGAATCTGGCTTGATAAATTTGATAAAATCTACCATTTTGGAGTTATTGACAGCAAAATTTGAGATTCAATCGCATCATTGGCAGCAGCCATTACTTATATTGTTTGTATACATTTGCTGCTGAAAGCTAAATGTGGAAGACTATGAAAAGCTAAGGGCGGAACTGATCTTTCTTGTCTAAATTTGTCTCAATTACTACACATGAGAACTATTTACATAGAAATGCTCAGTTTGCACAATGATACCTGCACTGATAGCTATTCTGCTGTAAATGTATGCAAACAACACCCGTAATGGCTGCCGGCAATGCATGACTGAATCAAAATTTTCACTGTTGATAATTCCAAAATGGTAGATTTTATCAAATTTATCAAGCTAGATTTGAGTAGAGCATGTACAATCACACATAAATGTAAGTATTCTGGAAATTTTTAATGCAAACTGAGCGCGGATGTTACACTGCAAATTAACAATAATGTTTTTATTTTTCTTATATTCTTTCAAACTCAGTAACTCTTTGTTTCTTAGTGATTTTATTTCCTTGCTTGTGCTAAAATGATTAAAAAAATACTTATTTCTACTAGGATGGTTAATAAACTACTTTTAAATGTGATTACTTAACTCTCATTCAGTTTGTCCTGCAGATCACTTTATTAGAGTTCTGAGGTCAATCCTTACTGGGTCCCATCACTGTGTGAACCTCTATCAGATTATTGTAAGCTGAGCATATATCTAGAATGCCTATTCTATCACTATGGTGAGTAATCTTGTGTCACAGTTTACTAGATGAGTGAATTTGATCATCACTGAATGTCCCAATAGTGTAATCATGTATTGAGTTAAGTTAAGCTGAATAAATAACTTTACCTACATGAATAATATCTTGTGCTGTAACTTTTTTATCTGTGCACAAA